TGGAATCCCTCAATTTACACAGGAACAGTACAATCAAATCATTCAGATGCTTGAAAAAGGAAGTGAGGATAATGGCTCAGCCATGGCAGCAGGTATGATACATAATGCAACCCTTCCTGAAGATTAGCCTAAGTGGATAATTGACACTGGAGCTTCTAATCATATGGTGCATAGGATTGATATGTTGTTTGATTTAAAACACTTGGGACAGACTAATGTAGGGAAAGTGTGTCTACCTATAGGAGAGCTAGCCACAGTAATACATCTAGGCTCCACATACATATTTCTTGGCCACAAGATAACTAATGTTATGCATATACTTGAGTTCAGATACAATCTGTTATTTGTCTCAAAGATTACAAAGGAGCTGAAGGGTGTAGCTATGTTCTTTCTTGAATTTTGTATATTTTAGGATCTCTTCAGTGGACAGGTGAAGGGGATTGGTAAGGAAGACTATGGATTGTATGTGCTCACATCTCGGAGTATAATACAAGCAATGGAGGATGCACCTACTACAAGAAATTTAAGTTCTGTTCCAAAATCTCTCACTGTGAATACCACTGAGTATACTAGAATAAATGTTGCCCTATGGCATAGGAGGCTAGGTCATATACCTTTGGATATACTGAAGAAAGTAAGTGAATTTCAGTCTGTGAAATTTGATGATACTGAACACCATTGTACTGTCTGCCTAGTTGCTAAGCAAACAAGATTACCCTTTCCTCTGAGTACTTCCACTGCTCATTCTAACTTTGATATCATTCATGTTGATGTGTGGGGCCCTTACAGGTTACCTACCTGTGATGGGAAGAGATATTTTTTTAACTATAGCTGATGATCATTCTAGATTCACATGGCTGTATCTATTACCCTCAAAAGCTGAAGTAATTATGGTTCTTAGGAAAGTCTTCTTAATGGTTAAAACTATTCATTCCTCTACTGTCAAAGTCCTAAGAACAGACAATGGTTGTGAGTGTTTTAATACTCAAATGACAGAACTGCTCAAGTCACTAGGCATCACTCATCAAAGCTCTTGTGTTTACACTCCACAACAGAATGGAGTAGTTGAGAGAAGGCACAAGCATATACTCAATATAGCAAGGACACTCAGATTCCAAGCCTCAGTTCCACTCAGATTCTGGGGAGAATGTGTTACTACTGTAGCTTATCTTATAAGCAGGCTACCTACCTCAACTCTTAAAGGTAGAACGCCATATGAAATATTGCATAGTGTTCCTGCTTCTCTCACTCATAAATTTGCTCCTAGAGCTGTTCCTGCAGTTTTTCTTGAATATTCTATGGTTCAAAAGGGCTATAAGATGTATACACTAGTCTCCAGGAAATTTATAGTCAGTAGAGATGTGGTGTTCAAGGAGGATGTCTATCCCTCCAGACACACTATCTATCCCATATCATCAGTATTTCCTATTTTAGATTTCTCCCCTAACACTAGTTCTGGAAGCAATATAACAGTATCTCCTCAAAATACTATAGACCTATCTAATGCACAACCTGCTGATCCCTTAGTATCTGCTGAAATTCCAAACTTATCAGCTGCTTCAAACACCAGTACATCACCAGATATAGAGTCCTCTACTTAGGCCTCAGCACTAGTGCCTCATCATGAAGTACCTAGCAGAAAATCTCTAAGAATGTTTAAACCACCACTGTGGATGAAGGACTTTGTGGTTTCAACTCATGGGAAGTCCAACTATTATTATCCCATATCAAACTATGTGAGGTACAACAATATTTCTTCTGCCTATAGTGCTGCACTCAATGTCTACTCATCTATTATTGAACCACAGTCCTATAATGAAGCAGTTCAGAATCCTAAATGGATTGCTGCTATGAAGTGAGAAATCACAACACTAGAGGAGAACAAGACTTGGAGCATTGTTGATTTGCCAGAAGGAAAGGTGCCTATTGGATACAAATGGATTTTTAAAATCAAATATACAGCCTCAGGAGTAGTAGAAAGATACAAAGCAAGGATAGTGGCTAAAGGTTACAATCAGCAAGAAGGGCTTGACTATACATAAACTTTCTCCCCTGTGGCCAAGATGGTCACAGTCAGGTCAGTTATAGCAGTTGCAACTGCTAAGCATTGGTACATCTTTCAAATGGATGTGCACAATGCCTTTCTTCAAGGGGATTTGCTTGAAGAAGTGTACATGGACATCCCACAAGGTTTTTCTACCCAGGGAGGGACAGGCAAAGTTTATCGATTACACAAATCATTATATGGCCTCAAACAGGCACCACGACAGTGGAACAAGAAGCTAATTGATGCCTTGCTACAGATTGGTTTCACTCATAGTCATTTTGATTACTCCTTATTCACTAAGAAAGTGCAGGACAGACTGGTTCTTGTCTTAGTCTATGTTGATGACCTTTTGGTTACAAGGAGTTGTCCTCAGCTTATTCTGTAGGCTAGATGTGATCTACAACTCAAGTTCAAGATGAAATATCTTGGTGAGCTCAAGTTTTTCTTAGGCATTGAGTTTGCCAGATCAAGGGAGGCTATTATCATGAATCAGAGAAAATATGCTCTAGAACTAATTGTTGAGCTGTGACTTGGAGGAGCTAAACCTGTTAGTGCTCCATTAAAGCACAATCAAAAGCTCACCTCTGCAGACTATGACAGCTTCATCAACACTCAAAGCACAGACAAAGACAATGCAGATACAGATCATCTTCTACCTGATGCTAGCCAATATCAAAGGCTAGTAGGGAGACTTCTGTATTTGACAATGACCAGAGCAGACATTGCCTTTGCTGTTCAACTCCTTAGCCAGTTTATGCATAAGCCCAAGCAATCTCATATGGAAGTTGCACTAAGAGTAGTAAGGTACATCAAGAGTGCACTTGGCCTAGGATTGTTGATGCCCTCTGAAAGCTATGGAAAACTAAGAGCCTACTGTGACTCAGACTGGGGAGGCTGTCTGTAGACTAGAAAGTCTGTTACAGGTTATCTAGTGAAGTTTGAAAATGCCTTAGTCTCTTGGAAGTCAAAGAAGCAAGACACTGCGGCAAGGAGTTCTGCAGAAGCAGAGTTCAGAAGCATGGCTTCAGTAGTGACTGAATTAACCTGGTTAACAGGTCTATACAAAGAATTAGGAGTGGAGGTTGAAGTTCCTATTGATCTATACTGTGACAGCAAGGCTGCAATCCAGATTGCAGCCAACCCCATATTCCACGAACGCACAAAACACATTGACATAGATTGTCACTTTGTGAGAGAAAAAATTATTCAAGGATTGGTAAAGACACACTATGTTTCTACAAAAGAACAACAAACTGATCTATTGACCAAGAGTCTGGGAAAGCCACAACATGATTACCTACTATCCAACCTGGGGTTGAAAGATGTGTTTCAACCATCAGCTTGAGGGAGGGTGTTGAAGAATCGAGTATGAGCCATAATAGTCAAGCAGCTCTTCCAGCTTATTCTGTTAGGCAGTTAGGAGCTTAGGTGACAGCTGTCACTAACTAAGTTAGTAGAGGTAGTTAGTGAAAATTAGTTAGAGTTGGTTAGATGTACTTGTATATATACATAGCTTCTGTACAAAAGTTAGTTGCAGATTTCATTATATGAAATGAGTTCATTCTTCTCTGCTTTGCTTTCATTTCATCTCTCTAACTCGATCAATTAGTTCTATAATTCAAAACAATCCCAACTTATTATATTTTGGCTTAAAAACTATTTCTGCTGAAAATCTACTATTTTTCTAGTCAATCCAAACGGACTCTTAGTTTTATTTTAATAAGTCAAACAATTTATTAATAACCACTAAGGAACTAACATGGTCTTGGGAATTATGTAAAGGGTATTGTACAAGTTGTGGGATTAAAAATTTACACACTCAAGGCAGCCCACATAATAAATAGGGGGTTTTCCATTATTTGAGAGAAAAATTAGTTAAAGAGCTGTTCCTTCAAAAATTCTTTTGTTCCTTCCTCTCCATATTAATCTGGAACTATTCCAAATCTTTCTCCTTCTTGCCATCATTTCCACAATCTGATTCTTAAGTAGTTGATGGCTGCTTATATTGCTGTAATTTCTCTTGTTAAAACTCTTGAGCAACTTCAGCAGAGAATTAATCCAAAGCTCATTCAAGGTCAAACTGCTAAAACGCTCGATTCTCTTCATGCTACTGCTGAATATTTTCATAATGTTGTTGAAGAAACTAGAAAGAGTAGGTTTGATCCTGAAAAAATCAAATCTTTGGAGGAAAAAATAAGAGTTGCTGCTAGTGATGCAGAAGATGTTGTTAAGCTTAAGATTGGTCAACTAATCAAAGGCTCAAGCTGGAAGTTTGGAATAGCAAATATAATTTTACACAGGAATTTGGTATCACTAATTAAAAAAATCGATACAACAAAGAAAGAAGTGATGGAGATTATTTCTGAATTGAGCACTAGTACTGTTACGCGGCGCCTTCCTGAAGTTCCTTGGAAGGGCGACGTAAGGCTAAGCAACTGATGTCAGTGCGGTTGCTATGCGCCAACTGAGGTCCTCGCCGTACGCTAGACTAGATTGTCTGTGCCGTACGGGAAAACCAATGTCGTGAGCAATTGAGCAGCGAAAAATGAGCAATTGATGATGAAAGCTGATGATTGTATTGATGATGATGAAAGCTATTACAAGATGCACTGCGGTATTGGGGGGAAGAGACACCAGTACAGAGAATTGTTTGAATGCTTGAATGTTTGAATGCTTTGGTCCCCCTTAATAATGCTTAAAAAAAATAAACCAAAGTTACATGAGTTGACCTAAGAAAGCTGTAGAAGCACACTGAAAATGAATGAAGTAAAACTACTCTATAATTACAATGAAAAGGACTTAGTCTTCTATGGAAGCAAGTCCGATGGCAGCAACTTTGTCTTGAGCATCAGGGTCTGCGCGCGCATTGCTGTGGGCGCGCGCGG